CTCATCATTTGTTTTCTATGGTTTTGCCAAAAACATCCAGCCGGAGGAGAAAATAAAAAAAATTAAGTAGAAATATACATATCTTATTTTTAGAGATTTTAAGGCAACGGCGGGCTTAATGAAAATAAAGAAAATCTTTTTTTTCCTCTGAAATTCCTTTTTTTTTTTTTTAGCAGCGGGTACGCTAATTGGCGAAAAATTAAAATTTTATATTCGAAATCATATTGGCAGGCGAAGGGCTTGCTAAACAAGGTATAGAAAAATTCTCACCTAAAGCCTCTCATACTTAGCATGGGTTTCTGTCAATCACCAATCATTCTTGTGTTGTAATGTTATGATAACTGTGTTGGTGTTATCATGGTGAAAGTAAAGTAATGAATACGGTAATTAAATCTTGCTGAGTTCCAGCTTACCAGACCAGCTGGTGCAATTGGACTAAGCGTTATGTCTCTTACAATAGTATTTTACAACTTCGAACAATCATATAATAGTCTTCAACCTGCTAAGGATATGTTTTTTTTTTAAGATTTGAAATTCACGATAGTTTTTAGCCCTTGAAGTTCAAGTTCAAAAAAGAACATTTATTTCTCAAAAATAATAATGTAAATATAATAAATAACCAGCCAAGTTTGAGGGGCGAAAACCCATAACTTTTCCATTTTTCATCTGAAAGTAGGCTTGATGTTGACATCGAAGGATGAAAAGATTTCAAGTCACGTAAAGAGAAGATCAAGACTAACAAATTAGAAAAATAAACAAAAAGATAAAGAAAATAAAATTATTACAACAGCCCATGAGAAAGAATTAATAACCATTGGTGGATTCAAGGAAGCCCAGTCCCCTCCCCCTAAAACTTTTAAAATTGAAAAAATAATGGAGAAAAAATGACAAATATATTCAAGTGTAAGTCTGTGAATTTCATTTTCTGCCATCTAGAGGTGCCATAGACATAAAATTCTGTGCCTCAACCTGAACCATGGTGGGACTCAGGTAGGTCTAGATCCTCAATCTGTAAAAGTCCCTCTCTGCACTCCCCCTCTTTACCACTGACAGCAGTTTTGAATTCAAATTCAATTCAAATTCAAATTTATTTCGGGTTAAAATTACAATCAAAATTACAATTAAAAGACAATAAAAACAGAAACAAAAACAAAGTGCTGCCAACCCAGGATAACCAAAAGTACACAAAACTGCCACTATCATGTGGCTCTCCAAGGCAGCACTCAACCAACAGAAAACAACACAAAAGATATAATAGATATCATTTAGAAAAATATAATATTAAAAGATTGTAATAAAAAAAGTTGGATGTTCACTTGCAACGTGTGTCCCTCACTACTCTGATCTTGATAGAATATCGATGACTATTTAGATGGGTGGAAGATTAATACAATTGATAATGACTGAGTTGTCATATCAATCTTCCACCTCTCAATAGATGTTCTTCCTTTGTACCATATTCATCACTACTGAGATGGTTGGAAAATTGATACTAATGAGCTGTCATTTGTATCAATCTTCGGCCAATCTGAAAAGATGATGGTATTCAATTCAATACAATAATACTTTAATATCCAACAGGAGATTTATTTGGCCATGGCATAACAACAAATATAAAACAGAGTATGATGAATAAAATGAATATATAAATAGATATAAAAATATAAAATAGTAAAAAGGTTAAAACATGAAAAACATAAAAGCCTATAAAGAATAAAAATTTGTTTAAAAAAAACGATTATTATTCTTATAATTTAAATTTTTTTATTTCATTATTTTTTATTAGCATCATTTATTATTATCATTATTATTATTATTATTATTATTATTATTATTATTATTATTATTATTATTTTATCTTTGTTACCATAATTATTTCCATTTTTATTTTAAACTTATCTATTAATGGTTTTCAGTTGGAATAAAGAATTTTCTGTAACGCTCTGTATTAGGCTTTCTCTTAAAGAGTAATCTGGAACTTTATATTGGGCTAGCTCGAAAACTGTGAAACAAAAGATTAAGTGTTGATATTTGATTGATATAAATGATAATTCGTAATCAGCATTTTGTGTACTACCATTGCGTAAAGCATTTTAATTGACTGCTGATAACTGTAGGCCTTGTCGTTGATAATTAGAATACTCCACAAATACGACTTACTTTGTTTAATGTTAGATTTGTCTTCTGCATTACCCAAAAGGCATGCTGTTGATAATTGGAATGCTGCGTATTTAACCAGTAGGCTTTCTTTAATGTTAAATCAGACCTTTTGCGTTTGTAGGTCATGTCATTGATAATTGGAACACTGCGTAACCTCCATAGAGTAACCAGTAGGCATTGTTTAATGTTAAATTGAACCTCTGCCTAAACCAGTAGGGCATGAATTTGATAATTGGATCACTTCCTGTACTAATTAACTCTCCTGTCACTGGGATGATCTCATTAACCCCAATGGAAAAGTTAAATCTGGCTCCAATGTTATCTGAGCTTACTGTGCAAGCATTGATTCATGGTACTATCCATTACTCATATTGTTTTAATATTCACAAAAAGTGTCCTACTTAATTTTAAGTTGTCGACATCAATTGTAACTCAAATTCTAGCAAAACAACAAAAAAAATTTGATGTTTGTGTCCACATAATTTGATTTTATGTATTTATATGGTGAGTGAAACTTAAATCCTAAATATTTTTTTCATAAGCTGATTCCATAATTAATTCTGAACCCAGTATTCTTCCCTCAGTGGCTATAAGAATGTAAACAATCTGAATTCCTAATTATGTTATTTGGGTATTCTCCGCCCTCTTCAACAATCTCCAGTCCAACACACCTCCACTGGCTACATATTTGACAAATGTCTTTGATTACATCATGGAGGTATAAAAATAGATACATCAACCATTTTATCTCTCTTAAATTGTTAATCCCTGTGCCCTCACCCATCATCTTTGATTTGCAAATAAAAGTATTCTCACTATCTGAACATACAAAATGAGAAAATGGTCAGTGGACCTTTGCTTCCTTGGGTTCTAGAACAGAGGTGGGCATAAAATCAGTCGGAGGACCAAACTGAATATTTGATTTAACATCGAGGGCTGCATACAAACTCAGATGTTTCCAGTGTGCTTCCAAATTCATGCACTTCTCTTATACTACTTTATGCTCAGTATGAATATTACTTTTTACAGATGATCGGTGTTTTCTAGTCAAAGATATTTACAAGCCGCACACATGGTTTTTAATTCATTTTTTGCGGGCCGCAAAAAATCACTGTCGGGCCACACTTTGCCAACCTGTTCTGGATTCATTTTTTCCACTCCACATACTTGTTGTTTTATGCAATATTAGGGCAGTAGTAGGCAATCCCACCAGGTTCCTGTTTATACTGTTGGGATAGAGAAGCAATGCAGACAAAATGCTGGAGTCAATTTGATTCAGTGATGTTTTGAAAGACGTAAATTGTTTATTACTATTTGAGGTGGTCAAATAACCACTTTAATAGCCTTAATAATGCTGGTTATATCACAAATAATCTTATTAGAATTGGAATTAAACCTAAGTCGATAGCATTGATTTTGACTTACTGCATGAAACTGTTTTCTTAAAATTAACCCCATTATTTTTCCCAATTCTATCTTATTAGAACATACCCTGAAATGCCAATGCTCATGAATTTCAATTGCCAATGAAAATACTAATCATGATTTACAAGCTCACATCATCATGGGGCTTCGTATCTCATTCCTAGGGTCAGAGTGCAATATTGTTGAAAACATCCTCCAGTGAGCCTCGTTAATGGATGGATTTGGACATATTCTCTATACCTTGGTTTTGACAAGTCTTTATATATAAAATACAATTAATGCAGTGCTCAATCTTTCTTAAAGGCAAATAAAAAAAATTACTAGTTGTTCTCTCGCGCATTAATTTTCTCTGCCACACCCAGTTTTTTAATTTGTTTAATTTCATTTATTTTACGAAATGTATGGCAATCTGGCTAACTCACATCAGTAAAATTCCTCTCTAGATCGTTGGTGGTTGGGGATACATATGGTATGAATCATGTTTAGTGCTTCTTTTATTTGCTTTCAATGTGTCTACTTGGTATAAGTGGGAAAGTAGTAGCTGTTTCCCATCGACCATCTTGGATTTGCCATTTTGGAATTTTAAAAAAAGTTGCCTTGTTCTCTTTTTTTTCCAAAATATTAGGATGAGATACTACTTTTTTTTTTCCATGGCCTAAAAGAAATGTCTGTGTATTTTCAAGGGAAGGAGAACAACAGAGGAGGCAACAAATAACACAACACTTAAATATACCATCATAATTATCTAAAGCACAACATATTTAAAATGTATATATTTATTTTTTTGTGGTTTTTGCATATTGATGCATAGATGTTTATTTTTAATTTTTTTTTTTTTTGCATTTTATAGAATTATCTTTGCTTAAATCCATTTATGTTTCAATGTAAAATAATGTTAAACATTCATTAATATTTTTTCTTTAAAGTGTTTGACATTTTAAAATATTGTTTCTATTTTGATTGTCAGTTTCAAAACAAGCAATTTCCAAGATGACAAATCAGTATTAAAAGTATAATTTTTATTGTACACACACATATATAACTTTTATCTTTCTTGATTTATTGATCGTTTTTTTTATGTGTATATTATTGTGAACAGTGATATACAGACAAATAGTTAATCATACGACTTCGTCTCTCATTTTTCCTGTTGTAAATCTTAAAATATTGTTTCTATGGTAATTCTCTGAAAGAGATACATGACTAGAGGGGTTGTTTTAAACAGTGGTTGCTATGGTTCCTGATTAAATGTAGTTTAAGAAAAGGCTCTTAAGTTGTTAAATTGATCGTGCATTCTATTTCTTAACAAAATTTAGGATTGGTTAGCATGTAATTCAAAATCCATTCAAACATTATAATTCTTCGTCCTTTTGTTGTTGCAATGACAGATACATTACATTTTGTTTCTATTATAGATTTCATATCAGTGAGATGAAGACCACATCAAAGTTTGCAATCTTGTTGGCATTCTGTTGGCTCGGGGGTCTGCTCTACCTTGGAGGCAGTTTCTACCAACCGGATGATTCGGAACAAACAGCGAAGGAATTAAAGAGAGTTTTGAGGGAGTTACATAGCTTAAAACAGCAAAATGATCGTCTTCAGAATGGCGCCATTGAATTGGGGTGAGATAACTTTGATGATAAAAAAAAAATTTAATTGGATTTCTTTTATATATTAAAGTAATAGATTGCTCGTGGCAAACCCTCCTGAATTTGATACAGACCAAATGTGCAACCTTCTACACTTATAAAATTAAACATATTTAAAATGTATCTTGGATTAATGCATGATTTCAGATCCATAATGATTAAAAATGGTCTTTTGACAACAATATTACAATTAGCATTAATTTACAATTAAAATTCAATAATTGTAGGTGTGTGGCACAATGGAAGGTTTCAGGATTTCAGTCAAAAAGTCTTAAGTTCGAGACTCACACTGCTCATGTTGCTTGCATCTTCGGCTAATCAGTATTAATGAATACTTTTTCGAAAGGGAATGATTTGGAACGAAATTTAGAAGTGACAATGCTGATTATAGCATAAGTAGAAATACTTCCTGGGGAGCAAAGATAGTTGCATACTATGTATGATTGATTCTGTTTCCAAAGCGCTTCGTACTGTAGCTATATAAGAAAATGCACTATATTAAAAAGAACTAAAAAGAAAAATACATTTAAAGTACATTGAACATACAAAATATGCATCGAAAATATCTGTGTACTATATACACATTACACATTCTGCTTAGCTGGGTAGATGGTCACCATCACTGACTAGGTGAGATTTTTTTTATTCCTTGTTTTGTATGCTTATTTGTTTAAAGAGCATCGGAGGAGGGCGGAATAAAATAAAAATAAAAGTTTGTTTTCTTATTTAGCAAATAGTTTTACCAAAAATATCCAGGCGGAGGAGAAAATAAAAATTAAATTTTATTGGTGAATGTGAAATTGGATGGTTAAATGCTTCAAATTTATATAATTAGGAAGAAATATACATATCTTTGGAGATTTCAAGGCAGTGGAGGGCGTAAAGGAAATGAAGAAAAACTTTAATTTTTTTCTGAAATTTCCACGTTTTTTTTGGTGGAGGGTGTACTAATTGGCCAAAAATATATTTTATTTTTATTCAAAATCATCATTATTTGCAGTCGGTTCGCTAAACAAGTTAAAAAAAAGTCTTGCCAATGGTACATTTGTGCAAATAATAATAATAATAGCATGGACTGTCAAATACAATTTCGCTTTTTATTGAGGACGCAACACTAATCACACTCACAATCCCTTCAGGGCTATGTTTTTAAGAACATTTTACAAACCATAAGTTTGGTTGCTATGGTAACAACACAAGGGTTAAATGTGAACATTGTCGTAGGTTAAGCAATTATGTAAGGATTATTTAGTTACAGGTGACATATTGTAGCCTTAAATTTCCTGTTGAGGTGTTGGATGCGAAATATTTGTTGTTAAATGTATTGCAAGTCTCTGACTGCATTACATTTTGCATAGGCCTATGCAGTGCTTATTAAAGGCAGTTAATTTCCAATTAAGCTTTTAATAATTCTTAACCGTTCTGAATCAACAGAACAAGTGGCTGTCATTGGCTACCACAGTAGTTGACAAGCTTCAACAGTGCAAAACAAAAGAAGGACCCTAAAGGGAAAAAATATGTTAGCTGACCTTATATTTCACTTTCACGTTCCTTGTTTTTGTTTTCTATTTTAGTATTAGCTAACCGTCTAATTACTTACTTATCTTGTCTTTTACTTTCATTCTATGCTTCCTTAACTTTCCGTGATTCCTATTTACCTACCTTTACTTTCTTTAGTCTCCCTTTTCCTTTCAATTACCTTTTCTTTCCTTTCCCCTTTCTTTCTAATGCCTCCTTATGCATTGCTTTTTTAGCTTAAATTACCTTTGTAATATTTCCTTACCTTTCTTCTTTTTCTTTGTTTCCTATGTAACCTTGATTTTTCTTGTATTTACTTTATTTCTTTTCTTTCCTTTTCATTTCTTATGCTTTTTCATACATATCTCATTTTATTTTATCTTATCGTTTCTTTCATATCCTGATTCTTTCTTTCTTGTCCTTTTCTTTGTTTTTACCATTTCTTAGGTTGCTTTGAATAACCTTTCTTTTTCTTTCTTATAATTTGTTATTTTCATTCCTTTTTCTTTCTTATATTTACTTTTCTTTTTTTTCATTTTCTTTCTTTTGGTTTTAATTCTTTCTTTTCTTTTCTTTCATTCTTTCTTTCTTTCTATTTTTTCTCACACCTTTTGTAGGTGTTCTTGAATATCCTTTTCTTTATTATGTTTCAATCTTTCCTTTA